GGGGAGTGGTGAATTGGAGCAGGAAGGGGATGTTTATCCATGGATATGGCAGTGGAGAGATTGATACTGGGATCATCACAGATAGTTCTCTGAAAGCATTTGCTCCATCTGCAGTTAGCGTCAAAAAGGCAAACAGAACGTTGGGAGCCATTGGAGTGTTGCCAACCCTCCCATTTTCACTCGGAGTCTCCTGGAATCTTGCTCTTGCCTCATGCAGGCTACTGCAGCCAACCTGGGAAATGTTCGGTGGCAGAGCAGGGCAAAGTCAGGTTTCCTGCATGTCCTGGATCCCGGCTGCTCCCAGAAGTGGCTGGCATGTCTCTCTGATCCCTAGCCTGGAGGTCCTGGGGCTCCACACGTGAGGTTGCCAGATAGTTTAACAAAAAATACTGAACACCCCTCCCCCCCCCAAAAAAAAACCACCTGGAAAAAATTCTGTTGATAGGACAAAAAAGGAGGAGACCAAAGTTGTTTAAAAAAAAAAGGAAGGTGAGCGCACTGTGCCCCACGCTCCTCACTCCCCTGCCCCCGCCACACACGGCAGGGGAAAATTGTCCCTGCCAGGCTTCCCGCATTCCTCACTCCCCTCCCCCACTAGATGCAGCAGGGGAAAATTGTCCCTGCCGGGCTTCTGTCCGAGGGAAACAGGAAATACCGGACATTTCACGTGTCCGGTATTTTCTGGGGTTTTTTTACTGGACGAGGGGCCCAAATAACGGACAGTCCGGGAGAAAACCGGACTCCTGGCAACCCTATCCATGCATTGCCCCACTCCACACACCAACTCGGCAGGTGCCATTGGCTGGGAACAGGGAACTGCAGCCAATGGGAGCTGTGGGGACTGTGCCTGAAGGAAGGGTCAGGGTGTGGAGCCACGTAGCCACTTCATGGGCTACAGGGAACGCTGACCACTTTCAGGAGCAGCGCAAGGCCAGGGTGGGCAAGGAGCCTACTTTAACCCTCTCTGTGCTGCTGCCCGAGATCTGCCTAAAGTAAGTGCTGCCTGGCCAGAGCTCACCCCTCTCACACTCCAACCCCCGTCCCAGCCCTAAGTCCCGTTGCAGAGCCCACACCTTCTACTGCACCCCAACCTCCTGTCCCAGCCCTGAGCTCCCTGCCAGAGTAGCATCCCGTACTCCCTGCTTCAGGCTCAGTCCAGAGTCCCCTCCTACACTGAAAACCCCTTGGCCCCAGCCCAGAGCCTGCACCCCCTTGTACACCCCAATCCCCTGTCCCAGCCTGGTGAAAGTGAGTGAGGGTGGGGCCCTAGGGTGGGCAGAATAGATTTGGGCAAAGTGTGTGGGTTTGTGTGATTAGAGTGTTAAGAAATGGATCGATAATAAGACAAAAATATCATGTCACTGTATAAATCTATGGTATGCCCACACCTTGATTGAATGCGGTTCTCGTCACCCCAGCCTGAAAAAAGATATATTGGAATTGGAAAAGATGTGGAGAAGGGTAACAAACATGATTTGGCATACAGAACAGCTTCCATGTGAAGAGAGATTAAATGGACTGGATTGCTCATCTTCAAAAAGAGACAAATCAGGTGGAGGGAATATGGTAGTAGAGGCCTATGAAATTATGACTGGGGTGGAGAAAGTGAGTAAGGAAGTCTTATTTACCTCTTCAAATAACATGAGAATTAGGTATCACCAATGGAATGAATAGGTAAAGGATTTTAAAAAAACAAAAGGAAGTACTTCTTCACACAACATGCAGTCAGCCGGAACTCATTGCCATGGAATGTTGTGAAGGCCAAAAATACAACAGGCTTAAAAAAGAATTAGATAAGTTCAAGGAGGATAGGTGCATCAGGGGATACTAGCCAATACTCCAGGGCTGTGTCTACACTGCACCCCTTTTCCGGAAAAGGGATGCAGATGAGACAAGTCGGAATTGTAAATGAAGCGGGGGATTTAAATATCCCCTGATTCATTTGTATAAACATGGCTGCCGCTTTTTTCCGGCTCGGGGCTTTGCTGGAAAAAAGTGCCAGTCTAGACAGGGATCTTTCGGGGGAAAAAAAAGCCTTTTCCAAAAGGTCCCTTATTCCTGATTTTAAGAGGAATAAAGGGACCTTTCGGAAAAGGCTTTATTTTCCAAAAGATCCCTGTCTAGAATGGTGCTTTTTTCCGGCAAAGCCCCGAGCCGGAAAAAAGCAGCAGCCATGTTCATGCAAATGCAGCGGGGAAAATTTAAATCCCCGCTGCATTTGCAATTCCAACTTGTCTCATCTGCATCCCTTTTCCGGAAAAGGGGTGCAGTGTAGACACAGCCCAGGTGTCCCTAAGAATCTGACTTCTAGAAGCTGGGAACAGATGGCAGGGGTTGGGTCACATGATGAACTGCCTTGTCCTATTCATTCCCCCCTGGGGCACCTGGCACTGGCCACTGTCAGAAGACAGGGCACTGGGCTAGATGGACCTTTGGTCTGACCCGGTCTGGCCATTCTGATATTCACCTTTTAAGAGGGTTGTTGAAAAACTGGAGAGGGGTCAGAAATGAGAAACAAAGATGATTCTAGGACTGGACAAAATGGGTATGTCTAGACTACATGGGTCCATTGACGGAGCCATGTAGATGAGTTTACTAGACATAGCAAAATGAAGTGGTGATTTAAATAATCGCTGCTTCATTTACATAAAAATGGCCACTGCGCTGTGCCGATCAGCTGTTTGGGCAATCTGAATGCACCGCGGTCGACAAGGGAAGCCTTTATCGACCGCTCCGGTAAACCTCATTTCACGAGGCATATCAGAGCAGTCGACAAAGGCTTCCATGTAGTCTAGACATACCCAATGACTTACAGTGCGAGACTTACATAGCTCTGTCTGGTTATTTTGTTAAAAAGAGGATTGAAAGGTGACTTGATTATAGTGTCTGAATATACCTTATGGGAAGAAAATACCAGGTGCTAAAGGACTCTTTAATCTGGTGTAGAAAGGCAGAATCGGTGCCTGGAAGCTGAAGCTAGACAAATTTAAATTGGAAATAAGGCACAGATTTTTAAGAGTGCGGGTGATGAACCACTGGCACAAATGACCAACAGGAGTCGTGGGTATTCCATCTCCTCATTCTTCAGGTTCACACTGGGTGCCATTCTGGAAGAGATGCTTTAGCCAAATACAAGTTATTGGGCTCAGACACTTTTAAGTGAAAACATTCTATGGCCTGTCTTTTACAGGGGATCAGGTTACATCATAGGTGGTTCCTTCTGGACCTAACATCTGTCTTAAATTAAGGCTGGTCACCTGTGCAATGGTGTGAGACCTAAACTAATAGACTCCTAGAAGCACAGGCCTGGAAGAGACACTGAGAAGTCAGCCAGTCCTGCCCCTGCACTGAGGCAGGACCAAGTAAACTAGACCTTCCCTGAAGGTGTTTGTCCCCTGACTGTGATGGGGATTCCACGACCTCCCTGGAAAGCCTATTCCAGTACTTAACTGCCCTAAGAGTTAGAAAGGTTTTCCTAATATCTAACCTAAATCTTATTTGCTATAAATTAATCCCATTGCGTCTTGTCTGACCTTCAGTGGACATCGAAACCAGTTGATCACTGTCCTCTTTATAACACTTTTTAACATATCTGAAGACTGTTTATCGGGTTGCGCCTTCAGTCTTCTTTTCTCAAGGCTAAGGCAGAATGTACACTAGAAAGTTAGGTTGACCCAACTACATCACCTAGGGACGTGAAAAATACACTCCTCTGTGCCAATCCAGTTAAGCTGACCTGACCTCTGGTGTAGACAGCACTAGCTCAATGGCTGAACTGTCGACTTAGCTACCACCTCTTCTGGAGGGGAATTAATTACAGTGACAGGAGACTGCCTCCCACTGCTGTCCTGAGTAGCTGCATTGAAGTGCTACACTAGTGCTGTTTAAGTGGTTTAAGTGTAGATGCACTTAAACATGCACGATTTTTATTAACCCTTTCCTCACAGAGCAGATTTGCTGAACCTTTCGTAGTTTGTGTTGCTTTCCTCTGGATTCTCTCCAGCTTGGCCACATCTTTCTGAAAGTGCAGCACCCAGAGCTGGACACAGTACTCCAGCTAAGGCCTCACCCGTGCTGCAGAGACCTCCTGTGCCTTAGACAATGTCTAATCTGTGAGCTATGAGTGTGGTTTCCTTGCATGGGGGTGCACATGCTTGTAGGGTTCAGTGAGAGTGATCAGGACTGTAACTTGCTGTGTAGTCATGGCAGCACGGGCAACTGTACCTAGAACATACCCACCAGTTTCAGGTAGGTTTGTACTTGGCACAACTCAGCTATGTTTTCGCCGATGCAGTTGCTGCTGCAGCTACACTGCTACATGTTCTTGCACAAGCTCTCGCTGAACTACTGCGAGTGTGTGCACAAGAGCTGGGAAGTCACATCCTGAACTTCTCATGGAGACAGCATTACATACAGCACTTCAGTTAATATGCACACGAACACTAGCTTTTTTTTTTGCAGCTGTATCACATCGTTGGCTCCTATTCGGTTTGTGATCCATTATAGCCCCAAGACTCTTTTAAGCAGTACTGCTGCCTAGGCAGTCCTTCCCCATTTTGTATTTTTGCATTTGATTTTTCCTTCCTAAGTGAAGTACTTTGCACTTGTCTTTATTGAATTTCATCTTGTTGATTTCAGACCAGTTCTCCAATTTGTCAAGGTCATTTTGAATTCTAATCCTGTCCTCCAAAGTGCTTGCAACCCCTCCCAGGTTGGTGTCCACACACATTTTATAAGCATATTCTCCACTCCATTATTCAAGTCATTAATGAAAATATTGATTAGCACTGGGCCCAGGACTCACCCATGTGGGTCCCCACTAGATGTGTCCCCCCACTTTGACAGCAAATCATTCATAATTACTCTTTGAGTCTTTAAGCCAGTTCCCACCCCCTTCTCCCCCGTATAGTAATTTCATTGAGACCACATTCCCTTGTATTGCCCTTGACTTTTATGCAGCTTTTGTGTCTGACCATCTTCCCTTCCCTTCTTCTCTCCAGTTCCGGTACAAGAGGCGTGTGTACACACAGAGTCTGCTGGATGACAAGCAGTTTGCCAAGCTCCACACAAAGGTAAGACTGGCATCTAGCCCCAGGGAGCTCCAAGTCCTGATAGTCTAGCCAGATAAATCCGAGCTGTCTGAGAGAATCTCACTGGCAGAGAGTGTTGCAGAAGAGATCTGTGGACATTCCAGACTTCCAACTCTACCCTCAAAAATGTGCCTTGCTTGCCAAGGGCTGGTTTGTGTTACTTAGGGATCTGAGCCAAAGGCCCCCCATGGAATTGTGGCTGGAAGCCCACTTGGTGTCATTGAACTGGTGCCATGCGCTCAGCAATCAGATGTGCAGCTGGACTGAGTTCTGAGGCAGAGGTCAGAGAGAAGCCTCTCCTGGGATGGTGAGGCTGGGAGAGACACATGATGGGCCAGCTGAAGAGCTGCTTTATTCCTTGACATTGCTGAGTCATTGCGTACCAGGACAGCACAATGGCCTACATTGAGAAGCACCCTTCCTCTCCCGCAGCAAACACCGTTCTGCCTCACATACTGGAACAGCATGGCCGCTGCATTGTTCCCAGGCTGGAACCTCTGGGTAGCAGCAGGGAAAGTCCCTTGATACTTCTTACAGGTACTCTCTCCTATTACCACCCTGGTCTCTGCCAGCTCCTTAAAGAGCTCCCTGCTGGCTTTTGCTGGAGCGCCACCAGTTCTTGCCGGAGCCATGCACTGGGGCGCACCTGCTCACGTTCACCTCTGGAGAAGAGAGGCAGATTTCTTCAGGTAATAGTCACCTGTCCTAACTCAGTTCAGCATAGAGACAACTTAAGTAAAAAGAGCAAAACAAATGTGTGTGCTTGTTTCCCGGAAGGTCTGTACTCAGATCCTCCACACTGCACTGTGTGTGTGTGTGTGTATGTGAGAGAGAGAGAGTGTGTGTTCAGACATTATAATGGGGAAGAACTCCTTGTTTCAGAAACTTGGCAGAAACTTGAAGATCCTTTTCACAATTCAGATTGTGTAGCTGGGGATCAGGAGGAGGTGGTAGGACAGTCGTGACCTTTCATCTCTGGCCACTCTGTCTGCCATAGGTAATGGTACAAAACTGGTGCTGGAGAGTGACCTAGCACTGGGCATGTCTTGTCTCAGTGCTCTGACATGGGACCCTCCCTATTCCCGGAAGTTGGGGCTTGATTCTGTGACTTGCTTTCCATTGTAAGAAACTCAAGGGATGACAATAGAGAGGCTCAGGGCTTCTTCAAGCTTTCCACAGGGTCAGGCTCTGACTGCCTGGTCTGGGATACCTCTCTTGTCACCAGCAAACAGGGACTCTCACCCACCAGAGCTGAAGGACTCAAATATCACTGTCAGGAGTAGATATCCCTTACTCCCCCTGAGCCTGCTCTTCCCGTGCCCAGCCGACATATCCTTCGCTGCTGTTGATTTGTACAGGGGTGGAACACAGTGAGCCTAGTCAGGATCAGGCCCAGTTGTGCTTGCTGCTGCACAAGGAAAGACAGGATTTCCTGCTCTGAAGAGCTTAGGGTTTAATTGGAAGCAAGATGCAATCAACAAGCATGAGAAGCAATGGATGATAAAGGAGGAGTGAGGCTCTCTGGGGCAAGCTCCCCCAGCTCCAGAGGTTAGCTGTGTACATGTCTTGTTTGATGATTGCAGCACATTTGAAAGTATTACAAATAGAAATAAACAAACGGACTCCCTGTGGCCTGACCCTCAGTAGAGGCTGATTTTGTATGAGCACCGCAGTCAGAGGGCGTGAGGGGAGAGCAGTGGCTTTACGGAGGGGGGTCTGTACTGGGGCAAGCTCCCCCAGCTCCAGAGGTTAGCTGTGTACATGTCTTGTTTGATGATTGCAGCACATTTGAAAGTATTACAAATAGAAATAAACAAACGGACTCCCTGTGGCCTGACCCTCAGTAGAGGCTGATTTTGTATGAGCACCGCAGTCAGAGGGCGTGAGGGGAGAGCAGTGGCTTTACGGAGGGGGGTCTGTATGTGTGACTCTGAGCCTGGCCTGCCTGGACAGGGACCCCTCGTATCGCTTGCACAAACTGGGGTGCTTTGAGCCATCTCCAAGCACAGGGTCTCAGCCTCTGCAGCTGCCAGTCATAGCTGTAGTGTGAAATGGAAAGTGTATTAGTGCAGTGTGGCCTTTCCTTCAGACACAGGCTGTACGTCCCTCTTCTTCCTCAGCGCTTGTAGCAGCACTGGAGTCTGACATTCAGCTCTCAGGCTCCTCAGTTTAACTCCTGGCATGATTCCTCAGGGCAGCACCAGGCTCTTGGGATCTTTGACGCTGCTGACGTCTGCTGCTGAGTAGAGGGGCAGAAAAGGGTCAGCTGACCTATAAAACAGCAGCAGCTGAATGGGAGGAACTCTGAGCGGATCCTAAGCAGAGAGAAAGCAGTCTCCCCCAAAAACGTGTCCTTCCAGATGGGACTCTCTCCTGACCCTTCTGTTAATCTTTGCAGGTTGCCACAACATGAGACTCACGGAGACACCAGGGAGAGATTTTGTGCAGTGAGCACAAGACTATCCATGCAATCGACATGAGTGTTCACACCCTCCTAGTGGAAGGGCATTCAGGTCACTCACTACTCCATGGCACTAGTGAACAGTGCAGCTTGAGGGCTGTGTTTTCGGAAAGGGGGGGCTGAGGACTAGGAGATGCTGGCTTGTGCATTTCATGTAGTTAGCTTTTTCGTGTGTGTGAGTGTTGCATCCACTGATGTCACGCCGAGGTCATGAGGAGAAGCCCACAACCAGCAGCCGAGCAGAGAGATTGTTCCCTGTGAGGGACAGAGCGGTACAGTGCAAAGAGAGGGGGGAGGCTACCACACAGCAAGACAAAGTGTGTGTGTGACACGCACGTCTGCTGCTCACTTGGAGAGAAGACAGTCCTGAAAGCCAGTGCTGGTGTAACTTGTCCCCGCGGTACAGACTGCTGCTGCTTTACTTGGAGACAATGCGATTGTGGAATGTGCGCGTGTGTGTGAAAGCGCCACATCCCGGTCTGGAGCCTGCTGTGGCCTGAGACAGGGACTGAGAGAACGGAGTGAGAACGAAGAGGCAGAGTGAGGGACATGGGCTCTGCCCTAGGAAGAAAGCTGACTGAGCAGAAAGAGAAAAGGCCAGCTTCAGGGGGCAGCAGGGCCAGAGTGAAGAGCAAGGTACCCTCTGCTTTTGTCCTCTTCTCTGCTGTTCTCCCAGTTACAGCCCTGGGCATCGCTTGCGGTGTGAGTAGGGTCGCTGTGTGTTGGTGCCTGGATGGCCCTCAAGTGCTGTGTGAGTGACATTGGGGTTGATGGATGTGTAGGATCTCAGAGAAGCATAGGAGAGGGGTTTTGTGTTTGAGAAACACTTGTGGAATATCTATGAGACCAGCCTCAGGGCTGGTTATTTCCCTGTGATGTGACCAGTGGTATGTAGCTGCTTACATTTCTAAGCAAATTGGGGTACCTATTTATACTCCTCCCTTTGTGTGGCTTGGGGCATCCGTTTCGAGGCTTGGGGGAAATGGATGCACACAGCTGATTTCTTTTGGGCACAGAGCATCGTGTCCAGCTCTCTGAGGACAGTGACATGAAAACAGGATTGATTCTACATGGTTTGTGCAGCTGTGGAATCTCATGGTGCTGTGGTGCAGAACATATTTCTAGAGGCAGTTGTTTGAATCTATAGAGATTTGTCCCTTTCCTCAGCAGAGTACAAGAGACTGCATCCCAGTAGCCACCGCATTTGGTGTTACAATGTGGGGGTAAAAAAGAGGAGGAGATCCTGGTCCTCTGTACTTCCACTGAGTTTTGGCCACATGTCTGCTCATGGCTGTGGTACTCTCAGGACAGGGTTGGTTAGGGTATCCCTCTGGAGGCAGGTGGGAGGGTGACATTCATGGTACTGGAATTTGGCAATTTCTCTGCAACAAAGCTATTGCGGCTGTGAGTTGGGGTGTTGAGGATTTTCCCTTGCTGAGAGAACAAGATTGCTGACATTTTGGTGCTGCTTAGTTTTGTTTTAAAACCTGCCTTGTGTATGCTCATAACTTTTTGGTAATTGACCCAGGTTTGTGCTGAACTGTTTCATGACCAGTCTTGTCAACTCTTTGCAATTTAATTGCTAGTCTTTACATTTTTTAAAACCCAGCTCCCAGATTCATGTGATTGTGAGAAGGCCAGCTTTCATTTCAGAATAAAACAAGCTTTAGTCCTTGTGCCTGTAGAGAAAAGCCTGAAAATGTGCATTCAGAAACCAGAGGACAAATGGAAAGAATGTAATTAATTTTTTTGAAACTCATTATTTAAGCCTCTTGGTTCATGCCCCTGAAAGCTTGGCTTTGGCAAAAGCGAGGACTCTGGCATTGTAGCGTTCTGTTTGCAAAGTATCAGCATGCTGTGCAAGTAGCCACTATACAGGCAGAAAAACATGAAAGGCTGGAAAGATTTCTGCCACTGGGGTTCTGGCCAGACAGGAGGGGCTGGCCAAGTCAGGCCTTGACCAGAGGCAGGTGGGCAGAGGAGAAGAAATCTCCTAGGTTTAGGACTGTGGTTTCTGTGTACACTATTTCTTAGACATTATGGCCTGCTGCTTGTCTCAGGAGCTGAGAGGCCTTCTCGCCCAGATGCGGGAGAGACTCCAGACAGACTCCAGGTAATATTAGTTAGTTTCCATCTCATAATAAATAAATAAAAAGATACAATGAAAAGTCCTGTTGTGTCACTGCTAACGTCACCTAGAGAAATGTGTGTGCCTCCGGGGTGGAACGCAGCAGCTGTTTAACAGCAGTGTTAATGTGCCTATTTAGGTCGGGAAGTGAAGGACAGTTCTGTATCCAGCTGACATAATGGTGCATGAGGGGAATTGGGTCAGTAGAATGTACTTAGCTGAGTTAGACTCAGTGTTAACAACCTAACTCTTGCCAAAAGCACTATGAGTTGCTAATGTTTGTGTGTGGTCAGGGATGTGGGGATCGATCACTGCTGATGGTGTCGTCCTTCGGTTGTGTCATAAGGCTAATACTGCACAGAGGCACTCGGGTCAATGCTAATGCCAGGGGAA